GTGGAATATTTGGAGTTATTGGAGACAGTCGTTCTGTCTGCTCACTCAGGTCGAGCCATCCAGCACGTGAAGAAAAACATCTTCACAGAAGAGGCGGGAGCGAGGAGAGGAATCCCCAAAGTGCTCGTGGTGCTCACTGACGGTCGGTCTCAGGACGACGTCAACAAAGTCTCCAAAGAGATGCAGATGGAAGGTCAGTTGTTTCTGTGTGAAGCTCTGAAGAAGGCCTCGAGCTGCGGTCTGTGTTAATGAAAGGCCAAATTTTATCTGCCTTTAAAATGTGCAAGAGTCTGCGTTCATGTTGCTCCTCCAGTTTTGTTGCATCATGGATCTTTCTCTCTCTGAATTCCCATCAAAGGTTACATCGTGTTTGCCATTGGCTTCGCTGATGCTGACTACGGGGAGCTGGTGAGCATCGCCAGTAAACCCAGTGACAGGCACGTCTTCTTTGTGGATGACCTGGACGCCTTCAAGAAGATTGAAGAGAAGCTGGTGACCTTTGTGTGTGAAGCTGCAACTGCCAGTGAGTCCCTGACCTGACGTTAGAGCTAAATGTAGTCCTGAAGAGATGCCTGCACTGGACATTAGAGAGTAAATTATACAACATGTGGTGCTTTTTAAATATTTGTCATCAAACTCACTTTTTGCCTTTCGCAGCGTGTCCGGCTGTACCGATGAGTGGCAGCACGATGCCAGGTAAGAGCTGGAGCGTTGCTGCAGCCAGCCTGCTGTGTCCATGTGTCCATGTCTCACGGTCTCAGTTATGAGCGCTTACAGAATAACTTCAAATAGGAAACAGAATATAAATCAAGTGTGAGCTGTGGTTTTAATGTGTTTGGATGAACACAATAATGTTAAACAAACAGTATGGAGAGCCAACACTGCCAACACATGTAAAAACAAATAATTTAAACAACTGAGAATGTTGTTCATCAAAATGTCATTAATCATCAACATATCATTCTTTTTATTATTATATTTAAATTTTCAGAATAAGCTGTTGCTCTGTTTTATTTCTTCTATATTTTTTCTTTTCATTTTTAATACATTTTAGTTATTTGTTTTATTTTAATAGCATAATTTACATATCCTCTTTTTGTGTTATGAATACATACAAAATGAAATTAAATGGTGTCTGTTTATCTGACATTTCATGAATAAATAGATTTCTATTGGTTTTTGCTGCATTTATATTCATTAAAAATGGACCAATACATTTGCTGAATATGAGTAAGGGCCAGTATTTAACAGATGGTGTTTACTGTTGACAGAGACATCTGTGGTATCACATCAATATCTTGCTGGGAGAATTGAAGCTCTGAAAGACAGAACAGGGCAGATATGTTTTATAATGAAGAGCTCTGACAAACAGCAACAACAGCTGAATAAAA